TCCCCCTCTCCTCCTCCCCGCCCTCCATCCCTTGGTCTCATTTGCGGAAGGTCCGCCTCCCTGTTTCCTGTCGTCTGGCTTTTGTTTCGCTCTGTAATTCATTTACACTTTGGGTTTCTCCTAGAAGAGAAACCATGTGATAGTTAAGCCTGTGCGTCTGATTTATTTCACCTCAAATCATGGTCTCAAGGTGCACCCCTTTTTCTTTGGAGCAGTGTCTCTCACCTGTGTACACAGCCTCCTGGGGCACCGGGGAGGCTGCTAGGCCTACTCGCAGGGAGTGGCCTGCTGCCTGCAAAACCAGGGCTGCAGCACCTGGTCCTCCTCAAAGGAGTAAGCCAGTGCTTGGCAGTTCAAGGGAGCACGCAAAGGGAGCGCACGGGGCGGCTGAAGGACCAGGCCAGCGGGCATGGTGTGTGCACTGGTGCCTTCTGCACTGCCCCCAGCCTGCCTGAGATGGGTCAGGAGGCCATGACAGGCCTGCGACAGGCCCTAGGCTCCATCTGGGTCCCAGAGGGGAGCATGTTCCCTCAGACATGTGGGGAAGTGGAGGGTCTGGCACCACCCTGATGTTTCAGAGGGTGGCAGGTTAGCTTCTGGAAGAAGAGGAATTCTCAGAGTTTGTGGTAGCTGATGGGTGTCATTGCACTGCTCATCTCCCAGCTTTGCCCCTCTCACAGGTGTGTGTGTGTGTGTGTGTGTGTGTGTGTGTGTGTGTGTGTGTGTGTGTGGTGGGACTATTTTCACTTTGCTCCATTCATGATAGGTTATGTGAGGTGCTCAACCTTGATCCAAGACAAGTCCTGATTGCAGAAGTGATTTTCACAAACATCGGAGGAGCAGCCACTGCCATCGGGGACCCCCCAAATGTCATCATCGTTTCCAACCAGGAGCTGAGGAAGATGGTATGTACCACAGACAGGGGCTTCTTCCAAGGGCAGAGTCAGCTTACTTAGCACTCTGCCCAGCTTGCCTGCTTACCACCTACCAAGGTGCTAGAATCACCTTCTTTATTAACCTTCATTAGAAATCCTGTCTCTCAGCTCCTCATAGCAGATGCACCACTTGCTCATTACAGTCAAGGGCGGAATGCGGGGTGACCAGTTCTCTGTCCCTGCTGCTGGGCATGGACACCATTCTTGAACTGATAGCTTTTAAAAGAAGTGATTGGATAATCACTGGGTCTGTTCAGTCGTAGTATATTTTGTTAGTTATATTAATAAGAATGGAAGTTTTTTCTAATATTAAGAACAAAATGACCAGTCTTCTTTTACTGGAGACATGGCATTTCCTTCTCAATTCTGGTAGGAGAATTAAATGTTAAAGAACTTAAACTGTTGTAAGGGTCAGAAAATGAAGATCTCAAATTCTTTGAAGACCTTTTTAATTATTCATAGGTATTTTTTCATACAGTAAAATAAAAACGAGGTACTTCACTGTCTATATTTTATATTTCAATGTACTCGTGTGTCTTAAAGAGTTAAAATTGGATCACTATCATTTTTATTTGTCATTCTCTGATCATTAGAATTTTCTAAATCTCCTTTTTGGGGAGTAGATTCAATTTATAGGAATTTTGAACTGAATTACAATAAAAACAAGACATATAAAAGTTTATAGGATCCCTTCAAACAGAAGTGGGTGAACTTTGCCCAAGGGTCGCGGCGTCAGTGTTACACGCATGCGGGCTGCGTGTCACAGAGTAGGAAAGCAGCCTCTCTGAAGGGACAGTGCCAGATTCCAGCCTGAGAGTTGTGGTCTGTTTGTCCCTGCTCCAGGGAGGTACTTAAAGGGTGACTTGTACCCTAACCACTCACATTAGAAAGGAAGTGTCTCAAATCCGTGGCTTCAGAAACTTGAGTCTTGCAGTGGCTTTTCCAGTGGCCGTCTCCTCCATTCTCTGCGGGGCAGCAGCTTTAACAGCGCCGCTCTGGCTCGTGCTCTTTCTGGCCGCGTAACATCCTTTGTGAGTCTTCGACCTCTGCGCCTCTTGGTGTCTGTGGTCTTGGGTTCTTTGTTTTCCGTCCTTTTCCCTCAGGCCAATGTTCTCTATAGGACGTGGCCCCTTGGTGGCTCGTTTTGTTTCCTGTGTGCTGAGCTCTCCCACCTCAGTGTGTGCCCCAGACTCTTGCCTCCTTTGGGTTTGGGCGTGGCCATACCTGCAACATGCATTGCTGGTCCCTACAGGCAGCGTGAGGCACACCTGCCTGTCCTGCCTCTCATCACACCTGTCCAGAGTGCCCAGACTGTTGTCCAGACTGCGTGTCCAGACTGCGTGTCCAAACTGCATGTCCAGACTGGATTCTGTTTTCCAGAAATAAAATACACTCTGCATTTTATCAAGACATTCAGCAGATTCAGCTTGACTGGTGAAAGCATTTCTCGAGTTTTTCACTTAAAGGAATTGGGGAAACTATTTTGGCTTGAACTGCCCTTACCAACGAATGGACTCATTTGACTTGTCACAGAGCTGCCCGGAGGATAATACCAGTGGGCCAGGAACTCTTGGCCACAGCCTCATAAATTCATGCAGGGTACGAAGCTGGGAGTGTTCTGGTCGGATTTCCCAGGAGGTCCTTTCTGGGCTGTTTCACATGCTTGAACATTAAGCCACTTAATCCATCAAATAAAGATGACGTGGAAAACTAAGAAGGTAACAGTTGGATGGAGCCCAAAGTAAGACTTCTAAGGGGAAAGTAGAAGCAGCACCTTGCAAGCCGAAGGGGCTGCATCTGAGCCCCGCTGTGGTATGTGGTGGGGTGACTGATTTTCCTGCTGAGAAGCCTAAGGAGAGGTGTCTGGGGAGTTACAGAGGCAGCAGGAGGCCCAGATACACGCGCCCAGTAAGCCCCGTGGAAGCATTCTCTCACTGTATGTGGCATCCGCCCGTGCTGTGCCCTACAACCAGCAGCTTGGAGCTTTCCACTCTGCACTCTTCGTCCTTGAAAACTCACAGCACAGCTCTAGTAGCAGTCGAAGCGGCAGCAATTGGACTCAGTGCTGAAGATTGCAGGGCCGCGCTCCCAGGACTCCTTAGGCCTTTTTCTTCATATATTTACTTGTCACTTTCTCTTCAACTGCCCACTGTTTCTAATGGGCAAAACTTTATAGTGGTTACATTCCAAGCAGACCCAAAACTCAGGATACAAATGCTTCCACCTTGTGGGTCACTTTCCCTAAAAATATATATTAGCAGTTACATTTCATAACCCAGTTGGTAAAAATTTTAATCACTTTTAATCATACTCTCTGACTCAAAAGTTCATTTTTTTGCTTCTTTTTAAAGAAGAAATTAAAATATTTTATAAGCACATGAAAGTATCACAGACCTTTTTCAAACAGATATCTAGGTTATAAATTTTACAGATAAATACAAAGTTATATTTCATTGAAGAACTCCCTGAATAATATGGACTATCAAAAGCAGTGAATTCTGTCTTTTTCTTTCTTTGTTTCTTCTTTCTTCTTTCTTTCTTTTTTTCTTTCTTTCTCTCTTTCTTCCTTCCGTCCTTCTTTCCTTCCTTCCTTCCTTCCTTCCTTCCTTCCTTCCTTCCTTCCTTCCTTCCTTTCTTCTTTTTTATTTTCAAGGGAAAAAATAAAAATAACAGTAAAATCAAGTTTTAGAACAGGCTAGTATGACAGTAACAGTAGTTAATATACTGCGTATTGTTGTCATCATTTCAGAAAGTTCTGGCAGTTGGCTTCTGATTTCTTCTTACTGTGCTCTGGACTTGTCCTGGGCGGGCTGGGGGTCTGGGGTTGCATTTTGCTTCTGTGTCTTGTCATTTTCTGGTTTCTATTGCTTTGTATTTTGGTTTTTAGGTGGATGCTTATAGGTTTCGAATGGTAGATAGCTTTATCCCGAGTATCGAGGCTGTTGCACAGGGATGTCTTCCAGATGCAGGCGGTTCTCGGTCGTTGTGTCAGAAGAACCCACCTCCCCGGTGTGTTGTTGAGGGTGTGAGGTTGTTGTCTGTTTGTCTCAGCACCTGGTCCTTTGGCACTGGATTATGGTGATGGTAATGAACTGGTACGATCACAGTGCTTCCATACCGAAGAGAAAACCTGATCATAGCGCATATGGTATCTTGGCTAAAGTAGTACAGTTAACAGTGGCCTGGAGTGCAGCCTGGCTTCTGAAAAACTGTGGTAACCATTTACCTGATATTTTTAATCATAGGAGCAAATTCTTCAGTTGTATAACAGAATCCAACACATACCAGGAACCTGTTTGAAATGATTTTCTCTTTAGTGAAGTGATTTTTACCCTGCTGCAAGGGAGGAATTAAAAAGAGCAGGGGGCAAAGCAGACAGATGAATGAGGTCCTACACAGTAGGAGCAAGGCTGCGGGCATCGGATGGTCACCTGAGTTTTGGGAAACTGGAGGACGGAGGAGGGAGAGGATGAAGAGGGAGCAGAGGAGTACTGAAGTGAACCGGGCGGAGAAGAGGCAGTGTTTGTTCACATGGAGTATCATAAAATCCTGGCAGATGGTCGGCAAAGAGAGTTAGAAGACAAGTGGATGAAAACAAAAAGGAAGGCAATAAAACTGAGTCATTAAGGAAAGAGAAAAGAAAAAGAGAGAGAAAGTAAAGAGACTAAAAACAGAAAACATTTGTTGGTGGTTGATTTTTTGATGATAGCTATTCTTAAAATAAGAAAAAAGAAAAAAAAAACAGAAAACAAAAATAACCCTAAAAATAAAACAAGACCAAATTAAACTAAACGAAAAGGACCTCAACCAGACAGAGGAAGGAAACCCAGTCAAACAGGCACACAAAAATAAAGGAAGTAAAGTTCCTCTGGTGTCGGCAGTTCTGCGGGAGGTCCAAGTCTGATCTCAGAAACGTGTGGTGTACCCCGGCCAATTTTGAGTGGGATTTGTGCTGGGAACGGGGCTGATCTCGGCCTCTGGATGTGGGTGCTGAGGCTGGTGCTCTGTTCCTGGGGTTCTCCCCAGCCCTTTGATATAGATATGTTAAAAAAGAGGAAAGGGGGGCCCACCTGCCCTCTTCTGTTCCTTCTGTCTGTGCGCCGAAGCACACCCTGCTTTATCTGACTTGCTAACTGCTGGTGTGTGTGTCCATGCCCAGGCCTGGTGGTGGCCTGGGGTCCCTGCCAGGGGCGGTCAGGCAACGTGTGCACCCTGCCGCCACTGCCGCCACTGGTGCCTTGCTGGGTCACTGGAGATCCACTGGCTGTGGCGGTCTGGGCTGCAGGCATCCCACCACCTCTGCTGTGGGAGTTTTCTTCCTTTTTTGAGACAGGGTTTTGCTATGTAGTTCAGGCTGGCCTTGAACTTCTGGTGATCCTCCTGCCTCAGCCTTCTGAGTGCTGAGGTTACAGGCACGCATCACCATGCCCAGATGGGAAAGTAGTGAATGCTTGTACAACCATTCAAAACATCCCAAGAGTCTCACATTTATCTTTCTCTGTCGTTGGCTGTGCAGATAATTATGAGACTGAGAGATGATCATTCATTGTCAAGCCCAACGCTTCGACACAACTTCCAGTAGTATTGTACCTTTAGCAGTGTGAGACAATGAGTCCCCCGATGTACAAAGGCTTTCCATCCCAGGGGCACATTTGTAAGTCGGATTTGTTTGTAAGTCCGTCAAAGTGAGTCTTCTACAGCTTTGAAACAAATGTACAGGGTAAAGCGTAAAAGACCAAAGGTGAGGGCCACTTGTGTCTGCGAAACTTCACAACTCGAACGTTCCTAAGTGGAGGACTTCCTGCAGGTGGTTTCAGAGCATTTCTAGAAGTGAGGGGGACAAATACATCTTAGTAAACAACAATTAATATAGTTTAAATCGCTCTTTCCAATGCGGGACTTTGGAAGGGAGGTGTCCAGCTCTCATCCTGGGATCTCTCAGAGCATCACAGTCCACGGGACTTGCCAGCCCTCCACCTGTGTGCACGCCTCTCTCAGCCCCATCACACGGCTGGACCGCTCGCGTCCTGTGTGACCCCACTGCCTTGCCACCGTGGCCCTTCACACTGTCGGTCCTGTGATGGTCACACTTTGCCCGGTACCTCCGATCCTCTTTGTGGTGCCAGAGTCCATGGACTGTACCGGGTTCTCATAGGTGACCAGGGTCATGGGGTGCGGGTCTCGTTTGTCTTGCTGGGGCCGAGGTATTGCTCACACGTACTTGTCTGAAGGTATAAGAACACAAAATAAATGAAAGAACAAAGCCAACCAAGGATAATGCTGACGTATTCCCAGACAAAGTAACCTAGTGGGGATTTTACCCATAAGAAAGGCCTCTTCAGCATTGATTGTGGCGGACACCTCCACAGGCAGGAGAGAAGCTTGTGGGAAGGAGAGGGCAGCTGCCTGGGACCCAGCTGGCAGGTGCTGACCCTCTGAGTGGCCTTAGTCGTGATGGTGCCCAGAAGAGGAAAGACTGCTTTCCGGTTGTGAGGACAGCCCTTCCGGTCAGAGGCAGGGACTTCGGAGAAATATTTACAAAACCCAATTTAGCTTTGAACAGCTGACTTTTGTCAGATCAGCGATGTTTTGTCTCCTCTAGTCTTCTGTCTTCTGATCCTGGGGGAATCTCACTGACAGCCCATGGACCTTATCACCCCCAGCCACCAGGAGGGCCAAGTCAAGCCAAGGTCAGAATTAGATGTGGTGGCCTGGTTTTGTTTCCTCCTAAGATGAATTGCCATCATGTGAGAAATGGTTTTTGGCACGAAAGACACAAACTGTAGCTGTTTTGAAGTCATCGAGAAGGGTCTATGTTCTTCCTTGGACTTTGTGCCGGGCTCCAGGTCCTCTCCCTGAGGTCCCCAGGGTCCCTGCTGTGCCATCCCACACTCCTGGCCCCAGCCCTCCTTGAGTCCTGATGTGGGGAGCTGCCGTCCTTGCAGAGGAGAGACCCATCCGTCATTCATTTCCCTTTTTCTCTTCGCAGGGTCTGGACTTCGCCACGTTCACGGCTCACATGTTTGTTGGGATCTGCCTCGTCCTCTTGGTCTCCTTCCCACTCCTCAGACTCCTTTACTGGAACCAGAAGCTTTATAACAAGGAGCCCAGTGACCTTGTTGGTGAGTAGAAGCATCTCCTCCTGCAGCCTCAGGTGTCGGTGCTGGTACCTTTACTCTCCAGGGGGAGTTCTTGCACAAGGACGGAGGTGCTGTCCCAGGGGGAATGTCAGGGGGGTGTCTTTTGTTGGGGTGCTGCGTGCTTGGGACCTGTGAGCACTCATCCTGCTTTACACAGTGGGCTTCCTCCTCCTGTGCAAACTCTCTCCCGGCTAAATCCCTTCAGAGCCAAAGGTCTCGTTCTGCAGCTAGGAGAACAGGAGTGTGACGCCTGAGAATCAGTGGACAAGCTGAGCCTGAGAGGGCAGCTCACCCTGTGGCCTGATAGGTAGGAAAGTAGGTAGGCACCGGGTGTGTGCAAAGGGCTTCAGGCTGTCACTGCGGACCCGGTGCGTCACAGAGCCCAGGCCCCTGGGGGGCAGCAAAACAGGCAGCGTAACTGGCTTCCTGTCTCTGCTTCCCCAGACATGAGAACGAGCACGGGACCTCCTTGCTTGTCCCGGCAGGCTGGCACCAAGCTGAGCCATGTGGACATGCCTGCCTCTTAAAGCGGATCGGCGGCCCTTCACCATTACGCCCTTGGGGAGTGGCTGGGAAGCCTCTGCCACTTATGGATGAGCTTTTAGTGGTACTTTTGATGTGGTGTCAGAACAGGGATCGAATACCTGCCTTGTCTGAACTTGTGCTGGAGCTGTCCCCCAGCCCTGTGTGCCCATTCCCATCCCAGGGTGGCACTTTCATGCTCAGCATTTTAGACATGAGGTCCTTGCTTTCTCTTCTTCTCTCCTCCTTCTCTTTCCCCCATTCTTTTCACGCTATCATACCATCATAGGTGGTTAAGTGAGCATGAGGCTTTTCAGAAGAAGTCGTGGGCCCATTTCTCTGAAGAGGACCTTGAGTTACACCCAAATTCCTTTTGCTTTAGAGAGCCACAGTGTGTCTTTGTAAGGCTGCGGCCTTGGAGCGATCCGCTTGCTGGCCGAAACCGTTCCATCGCTCCTGTCCTGTCCCAGGTCTCTCTCCCAGTCTTGGCAGGCTTCTTGTACAGTCTGTGTCTATCTGACGAACTTGTCTTTGCTTCCTCAGCATGGCAGCAGGCCTGACACACAGGAGGTGACCGGCCCCTGTGTGCTGAGCAGAGGGGGCTTAAAGGTGGTGTTTTCATTGATTTTTTTGTTGAGTCTGTGTGTTTGTGAGTCTGCATGCTCTTGGCTCTCTGAGCAGTCACTATGTCTTGCTTCTGCCCTGAGCTGGTTGTTGGGTGCTCTAGCCTGATTGAAAGGTTTTGGTATTTTAGTTTCCTCTTCAATTTCTGTGATACATAGTAAGGTGCCTTGAATATCATAGGTGTGCTATCGTTCGGACCTGAAATGTCTCCCAAAGGCCTGTGTGCTGAAGTCCCTGGCACTATCCTTAGGTGGTGCAGCCATCAGGAGGTGCAGCCTGGTGAGAATTAGCCCCGGGGGGTGTGCCCTTGAAGGGGAGTGTTGGGACCCCAGTCCCTTCTCTCTTTGCTCCCTGGCCCTGGTTCACCATATGCTCAGAGGCAATGGGCCACCTGCCATGAACTGAGACCTCCACAACTGTGAGCTGAAATGAACTTTTCCTCTTCGTAAGTTTTTTATCTCAGGCATTTTCTTACAGTAATCAAAAACCAACCCAGGGTGGTTTGTGAAAATATTGTGCTTTCTTGTGTTCTTTCAGTGGTTATTTTGAGAAATGTATGTAGAATCTTAAATTGTGTAATGGAGGTTAAATGGGAGCTTCCGTGGAATGTTTTAAAACCTTCGGAGGTAATGAATTGACAAATGTCTCTCCGCTTGTCTCTGTAGAAGGTGTCTGGATTCAACAAGGGGTGAAAATTCCTTCTTGATTTCGACAGGCTCTCAGCCTGTCTGTGTCACAGAGCTGAACTCCCGGCTCCTCTCTCTTACCACAGCCCTGCTGAGGGCCACTGGCTGAGAACTATGCTTCCATTTCTGGTTTTCGTGTGATCTGTTTCTGAAATCACTGGGAGACTGGACAATTGGTTTAATTCACTTTACGTTACTCGAACTGAATACTGCAGCCTGGAAGAGCTGTAAAAGACAGAGGGTCACTGAGTTCACCGTCCCGGAGCAGGAGGTCTGAGAGCACGGCCCTGTGCCTGGCGAGGGCTCTCTCACTTCACAGTGCAAAGAAGGCTGCCAAAGGGCCCATGACATCTAGCTTTTGGCTGAAAGCAGGACCTGCAAGAAGGGGATGGGTTTGTGGTGTGTGGGTGCTAGCTTCAATATGTCCGTTCAAGGAAGGAGTTTATTCTCCCCCACAAAGAGCTGAAGTTGCATTACTTTATTTGTATGTAATTTTTAAAAAATTAGCTGTGTAATCTGGTCCATCATGATAGCTCATGCACTGAGAAAGACCTCGCTTTGGGCCACATCTGGCCGCCTGTACGTGTCAGCATGTGTGGTCTGAAGAAGTGGATGCCACCGACACCCGGGGCTGGGGAGGCTCAAGCTCTGCCGTTTTTCTCCGCAGAACTGAAACATGAGATTCAAGTGTGGCGTCTGACTGCGCAGCGCATCAGCCCAGCCAGCCGAGAGGAGACAGCTGTGCGGAGCCTGCTGCTGCGGAAGGTGTTGGCCCTGGAGCACCTGCTGGCCCGGAGGCTGCACAACTTCCAGAGGTACCAGGCAGGGTCCTGTGAGGCCTGCTGTAGCAGGTCTCATCCTCACTGGCCGTGCATGGTGGGATTGAGTGAACCACTTCCCCCACCACCATCCAAGTAGTGTCCAGATGTCGCAGAAATACAAATCAAGTGAGTTAACATGATCATTTGTACAAGCATTCATGAATGCTTGTACAAATGATCATGTTAACTCACTTGATTTGTACACCCGCTGATGCTTCTACATGCCACTCATCATGCTAACCCCGGGGGTGCGCTGCTCTCTCTCATGTTCACCTGGTTCTGCAGGTTGTTTGCTAGTTTGAGAAGGAAGAACCCATGCACCCTCCCCAGCAACCGCTCAGAAAGAATGATGTCGAGGATTGACGTGGGCATGCTCGGTCACCAGGCCGTGCACCCTACCTTCCCCGCTGCAGCGGTTGCACAAGAATCAAAACCATTTATTGTAATGAATTCCCTAATAACATATCCTCCCAGTAGTTTTTTTTTCCAGGCACTTTCAAGTATGTAGAAGTTTTAGTCAATTCACTTCTTGGCATTCATTTTTAATCAAAGCTGAGGCCAAAGGCAGTCATGCATTGGTGAGGATTTACTCCTCATTACAACACAGTGCTGAGTGCCACAATGTGGTCCCCCTGGAATCCGGCCCCCAATACTGAGAGGTTCCTGCAGCGGAGCTGGGAGTGGTGGAGTGAGAAATCCCTCAGGCCCACGTCAGAAGTGAGTCTTGGGAGCGGCCTTGACACTGGTCTTGTTGCTGTGATTTGCTGAAACAGGCTCACCTCTAAGGAGTCATCTCTCATGACAGTGGGAGGAGCAGGCCACAGGCCAGACGTCTGACCCAGAGACACAGCCTCGGGTGAAGCTGTGTCTCCACAGTACCGCTTCAGCCCAACCTAGAGCCTTCTCCAGCTCAGCAGTGCTGGAGAAGCGGGACCTCTGTCCTCAGCGCCAGGATGTCCCGAGGTACAGGCTGGGGCCGGAGTGACTGACCAGTGCAGGCAGAGACTAATGCAGGCAGAGACTGAGGTACAGGCTGGGGCCGGAGGGACTGACCAGTGCAGGCAGAGACCTTAAAGGAGCCTCTTTTAATGATCGAAAGTTGCTGGAGTAAAGACAAAGCTGGTGGGGTCAGGTTACAAAGGCGGAGGGATGGGCCTCAGAGATTTAGCGTTCCTTCCTGTTCACCCTGTGTTGGTCACCGAGGGACACACTTAGGCCTGGGGAGGGTGGTCGGCTCCTTGAAGCCACGCATGCATTGAAGGGCAGAGTGGAATGAGCCGTCCAAGGCAAGTGCTGGCTCTGCAGGATTTGTTTTTTATTTCTTCGAAGAAGTTTTCCCAGAATCATTTGGCTAGTTCTGTCTAATGTCCCTAGGGCTGCTGGGCTGCCGGGTCTCCCCTTTGAAGCCACTAAAAAGGCCTTCGGTACTGTTTGGCTTCTCTCCCCAGACTGGTCTGGGAGACAGTGAACCTGAAACGCTGGGCTGAGTTGGAACGGTTAGAAGGAAAGGTGGCGGGGCGAAAGTGGGGGGTGGTCCCCAGAACAGAGAGGGGCCGCACGGAGGGAGGGACACAGACACGGCATTTCTGAGAATTGATCTTCTCTTGATAAAAATTGTTGTCAAAGCAAGGGGCATGGCTTTTACCACTTTTTTTAGGTGGTTGTAAAAGTCAGTTGTAGAGATACAACGTTCTCATTTTGGAATTCGAAATTCAGAAAGGAAAATCAGCACTTTGCATGTGTAGGTTCCACATCTGCAGATTCAAACTACTGTGGACTGAAAATTTTTGAAGAAACTGTGTTCATACTGGACATGTACAGGCATTCCTGTCTTGTCATTATTCCCTAAACAACACGGTATAGCAACTGTTCACATTCTGTTACAATGTAACTGTTTACACAACTGTGCAGAGCATGTATGTTGTGTTAGGTACTACAAGTCACCTACGTATTTAAAACATACAGGAGGTATACCCAAGTTCTGTGAAAATACTGTGTCCTTCGCTACAAAGGCTGTGATCATTTGAGGATTTTCATATTCACCGGAGTTCTGGAACAATTCCTCGTGAATACCGAAGGATGACTGTCTGCAGAGGGGAGAAGGTGACAACGATTATTCTCCTGTGCACACACTGACATGTGCTCTGGATGTTTCCCATGCTCATGTGCTCATATGTGTGCATAAGTACACACACACACACACACACCATCCAACACCCTAGCAGTTGCGCCCATTGCTTTCGTTTGGATGTAGCGTGTTTCCTAACCGACAGTCCACACCCTGCAGCACTCTGTGGCCGGCTCTGTCCCTCATGCAATTGCACAGGCTCCACCTCATGGGTGACGTCCAGGCTGGGGCTGTTGGTGGCTGGTGGTCACCCCCCTGCTCCACAGAATCAGGGGTTGATGTGCTGTCGTTGTCTCTTTTAGACAAATCTCACAGGAAGATAAAAATTGGGAGACCAACATCCAGGAGCTACAAAAAAAGGTACCTTGGTTTCTTTTCTCAGAAGTTTCTGATTTATCTCTTGTAGAAGAGTGATTGGCTTTTCTTTTAAAACATTTCTTTTAAAACATTTCTTATGGTGATAATTATTCACACTATTTGGAAAGCGCACACTATTTGGAAAGTTATGAGACACAGCGTGATATCTGGACATGTGTGCATTGCAGGGATTAGGTCAGAGTCATCACCTTGAGCTCTTGCCATTTCTTTGTGGACAAACATCAAAATCTT